TCCTGGGCTCTCCATGTCTCTTGAAGGTTATCATTGACTTCATTAAGGCCAGGCTCTTATCAAGTCTGGTTTCTTCTCAGATGTCACCCTCCTACCCCTCTTTGAAGCACTCAGAATGCGTGGCACCCTTTCTCCCGTGGCTTCCATGCTGCTCACCTCCACCCTGCACCCACCAGGGTGCCCGCGTCCCACCACTCAGTCTCAGCCACAGCTTCCCCTGTGCGTTCTCTGCAGTTTTTTCTCTTCTCTCTCCCACTGGCCTCCTCAGACGTCCTGTGCACTGAAAGGTTGCAGGTTTGATACCCAGTCAGGGCACATACCTGGGTTGTGGGTTCAATCCCAGGTCAGGGCGTGTATAGGAGGCAACCGCTTGATGTTTCTCACATTGATGTTTCCCTTCTTTCCTCCCTCCCTGCCTCCCTTTCTTTCTCCAAACATGTTCTCAGGTGAGGATTAAATAAATTGAATCAATATTCAATTGAACCAGGACCTTGTTCCTAAGACTGCTGGATGCTGACCAGTAGCCCTGATTGCTACATCAAGCATGTCCAACTCGCAGGCCACCGGTCACGAGGCTGACATGCGTGGGCTACATTCTGGGGAAGATTAAATCAACCGGGATGCCCATCCAATACACAGGAAATGCCCAACATGTAAACATGACCTATAACATATGTGGGAACTGCCGCTATTACCATTGCTGCATAGGTCTCTCAACCCAGCCACCCTCTTTTTCACCCTGGCCAATTGGGCTACTGGGCTCTTCATGTCTCTTGAAGGTTATCATTGACTTCCTCAAGGCCAGGCTCTTATCAAGTCTGGTTTCTTCTCAGATGTCACCCTCCTACCCCTCTTTGAAGCACTCAGAATGCGTGGCACCCTTTCTCCCGTGGCTTCCATGCTGCTCACCTCCACCCTGCACCCACCAGGGTGCCCGCGTCCCACCACTCAGTCTCAGCCACAGCTTCCCCTGTGCGTTCTCTGCAGTTTTTTCTCTTCTCTCTCCCACTGGCCTCCTCAGAGACGTCACACACATCCGTGGTTTGCACCTTCACCTTCAGGGAGATGATTCTACTCGGCCCCCTCACCTGGCCTCCTCCGGTCTTGAAGGGCTCACTTCCTGTGGTGTCTTCTCACCCAGTATTTCATTGACTTCTCTCCTGTACCTGTCTGAAACGGAACTCTCTTTCAGCTTCTTTCCCTTCTATGTCCCCCACATCTGATCAGGGGCCACGCCCTTCTGCAACATTCCTTATAGACATCACTGTATTTATTCATAAAAATCCTTCTATTATACAATGGAATCTATGCTCAGTGCAGAAAACTTAGAAAGCACATAGAAAAACCATCACCTGCAGCGACACCACTCCTTGATAGCTTGAGGCTCATGCTTCCAAGGAAGTCCCTCTGGATGCTCATTGTAATCATTAGCCACCACAACAAAGGAGAACAACCTAAACAGCTCATTAACATGGGATTAGCTATTCATGACCAGAGCCTTGGGTGCTGTTTTGTAACATGCCTTTGCGTAACAGTGTCTCCAGTGTCACTGGGGAGTTTTCTAAGTTCGGATTTGATTTACTCTTTTTGTTGTTGTGGCGGTTGTTCTGGTCACACACTTTGAGGGAGATGTTGGCCTTTTGTCAGGACCTGCAGGGGAGCCATTGGAGACTGAGAGGCTAGGAACCTTTTCCGAAGGGGAATGTTTGAACGCACTGGGGCTGCGGGGATGGGCAAGAGGAGATGGGAGGAAGGGCCCATCCTGGCTGGAAGTTCAGGATGGTCCATGGCAGGTAGAACCAGGGCTGATACGGAGGCTGCAGGAGGTGAATTCAGCCCAGTGAGGGAGGGCTCTCTCCCCGCTCCGTGTCCCTGCTCAGAGCCACCAGAACCTCGTCACGCCCACCGTGCTGCTCTCTGGTTCTCCAGAATATTCATGGCAGCTCTGCTCATGTACCCACTGTGTAAAGCCCAGACCCCTAGCCTGGCACACGAGGCCCTGGCAGACATGAAGCTTCTCATTCCAGGATAATTTTCCACTCCCCTTAGATCACTCTGGCCCAATGAGTCATTCTCTCTTCTTCGGGCAGGTCTTGCCTTGTGGTGTCTCTCCCCCACACCCCCCACCACCCCGCCCCATTCCATCTCCCCTTGTTCAGTCTTCCCCACAAGTCCTAGCACCAAGGGCACCACCTCCATGAGGCCACCAATCAGAAGGCCTGGCTCCCTCTTCTGCTCCTGTAACACCTAACAGATACCTCCCTCATGACACCCACCCCTTCCTTCTTCCTTCCCAGCGGTAGGGTCCAGTGTGCATGTGGCTCATTTCCCCTGCAAGGTCCAGGCTTCTAAGAAGAGGGGCTGCCTGTTGCTGCCCCTTTCCTCCTGCAGCTCAGCACCAGCACCTCAATGGAAAATGGTTTCCAGAGGCTCCTAAGCATGGAAACCATATGTCCTGTCCGCACCCAGCAGCTCTCCTTGCATTGATGCTGTACTTGATGCTGTGATTCCTCCCATTCCC